TGTGTGTGTAGTATATATATATATATATATATATATATATATATCTATCTATCTATTTATAGTTTACAGGTCGTGATGCTTCTTTAGCATTCATTACTGGAGAATTTAATAATCAAGGTTTAACCGATGATATATCTACTTTATCAGTGCAACAAGTCAAGGCATTAAATGATTGGTTACAATTTTATAACACAAACTATGTCTACAAAGGTACAATTATTTAATTATCGTAAGACAAGGAATAGTTGATCCACCTTAAACAAATTTTATTCTAAAAATTAAAAGAATTTCATGATTCTTTATTCATCTACTCAACATGGACAAGAAAAGATATATTTAATTCTTTATAAAGATAAGAATTTTCTTTTAAGAATTTTATAATTCTTTTATTATAAAAAGAAAATACTTTGCATTACATGAGGGTGAGGGTGGATCAACTTGCATGCATTGTTTTCTAATATATTTTGTATTTTCATCAGGAAAATTATATGGTAAATATTATAATCGAGACGGTAGTCCAACTGCAGAATTTTATAAAGTACAAGAAAAGGTATTGCTCGCAAAGAAGGAGAAAGCATTGGAGGAAGAACAAGATAGAATATTCCACCTTGTAATGTAGAATGGAATCTTGATACTGGTACTATATTCTGGTGTACTAGAAAAAAGGTTAAGAACTTATTTAAGAATTATTTTTTTAATTTTATTATTAAAGATTTTTTACGTGAGTTTTCTTCCGTTTAATAGTGGTGGAATTGACAGAAATTGGATCGGTGTGCCAAGAATGCTGTTCGAAACTGCAAGCACTAAAAGTTCATCTAGATGCATTTGTGTTAATCTGAATAGTAAGGAATACAAAGAGAATAAAGCTAAATTTCGAGAATATGATGGCTGTGATAAATTTGCAACAAAATGCATTTTGAAGACAACTAAGACGTGATGTAAAAAAGTATTAAGATATCTTTATCTATTTTATATATAGAATTATATATAGATATATTTATATTTATAAAATATAAAGTGCAAAAAGATATATAGATTTAACTAAAAATTTTTTTATATTGTTTCTTTTTGAATTTTGTATTCGTTCCAATTAGTGCCTTCCAAAAGTACAAACTAAATATAAAATTTTATATGAAAGTATGACTCACATTAATCTTAATATAGATATAATTTAATTTTTATTTTAATATATACAATGGATATACATAATAGAACACAATATTAAAAAAGAAGAAAAGGTTTTATTCTGTTCTGAAAAAATAAAGTTTTGTACTTAAATCTTC